CTTCCGACGCCAGGGCCGCGAGGGCCAAGGTCGTCGTGGATAGCTTCATCCCTGTGGACTGGGGAGGGGGGGCCCAAAGCATCGACTCCCTCGAGAAACGGACGCCCGTGGTTGGAGATCGAGTCCCTGTTGTTTACGTCTGCTCCACCCCCGCAGACTGCTTCTTATGCGGAGAAGCTTATCCTAGCAGACGTCTGGACGGGTATTCGAGAAACCGGGGACATGAGCCGGTAAGCAACACAAGGCTGTTGAGACTACAGGAAAAAGAAGAAAGCAGAGTATCGCTGGCCGGAGCTGTCAGATGCCAAACGGCGACGGGATCGCACGTCCTTTTCTGTCAATGGGACAACAGCGGGAGCTCTCCTCTAGTACAGCCGCAAAAATGGGGAAGAAAGGCAAGACTCTTTGGAGCCACGCCCAGCAGGGCTACCTATCTGGGGCCGTTGGAGCTAGCCTGACTGCATAATACCGGTAGGCAGACCTCGCGCCACCTTGAGAGCTCGTTGTTTTTACGAGATTTGGAGATTTGGGGTTTGATAGTCTGGTCACGCCAGCCCCGAGATGGTTAGAGAGGCACAGCAGAACACCCCAGACGGGCAGAACGGGTTCCTCGGCTCTGTGCTTGGCGGCAAGGGAAACGGGGCCATGGAGGGCCATTGGGTGCGGAATATCATGATGGACACTTGGTGGAATGCCCTATCCGTACATTCAGGGGCTTTGTTATTTCTTGACGCATTCTTGGTGTGGGTTGCTTTGCTTAGTGTATGACGCGGGGAGCATGCCAAAATGAGTGTGTATGGCAAATGAGAAGATGGGAAAATGGGTGAGAAATTATTTGGTGTGGGAAAGTTGAAGGATCAAAGACAAGCAGAGACAAGTCGCGGGCCGAATTGACGTCTTGGCGTATCCGGGGTGCTTAGTCACTGGCGATTTGTACGAGGTGAACATCCTTTGAAGGATGTTTGATCCCTTGCTTCTAGCATTATGGTTCCACAGAATGCTTCATTTCTTGGTATTATGTCTTTGCTGCGTTGGCTTTGCATGGTGAATAAACCTGTCAACTGAAGGGGAAATGGTAACCGGCAAAGAGGTGGGAAGTTGAATGATATTGATGCCGATGGGTAAAGGCCCAGATTAATACCATTCTTCATCACCGCCATGCCGGGAATCGTACCAAGTCGTGATTGTGATTTTAGACGGCTTTCGGCCATCTCTCCAAAGCACTCCAAAGTGACTGGACTACATTGCCTCCCTGTCGCAGTGTCGAGACACAGCCTAGGTATTCTGGCTGGGCATCGCAATATCTCAAGCCTTTTTGACCCCGGAAACGCCTTGTCCTCGCCATCGCCTTATTACAAATCTCAAATCTTGAATCGAAGCCAAAGCCATCTCAAGTGGCTATGGGCGGGCCCAGAGTCCCATCCGGCAAAACACGCTGCACGGTATTGTGCTCCGCCTCCTTCCTCAGCTTCCGTTCCGCCGCCGCCTCCTTGATGCGGCGCTCCGCATCCAGCCTCGTGTTCGCATCCACAGCCAGGAGCTTCATCTGGTACTTCACATCTCTAGTGTGGATTGAGTACCATCCCTGATGAGGCTTGCAACGCTTCTTGTCGCAAAGATTCTTGTCCTCGCCGCTCAGCCGGCTGCCGACGTCGAGGTTGCCCGCCTTGTAGATCTCCTTGGCCTCATCCGACTTGAGCCAGTTGGCAAAGGGGCCCACGACGCCCACCTGGTCGAGGCGGTAGTCGTAGCCGCATGCCGCGTCTTCGAATTGCTTGGAGGCGATGAGGGCCTTTCGCCGGTCGTTGGACCACTCGAGGATCTGGAGCATCTTTTGGCAGAGGAGGACCTCTTCGCCCAGCTTCTTTCGCTCCGCGGCTGACACTGTAAGAATCTCCTTCTCCTCCTCGGTGAGATACGCTGGTATAAGATTCTTAGTCTTAGATTCAGGGCTTTCAGCTGCATGAAGTAGTTAGTCTAATTGCGCAATCCAGTTGAGCCGTTGAACTGATTTGCGTACCTCCGTTATGCTTTGGAGCAAACGGCTTGGTTCGGACCTTCCATCTGCCATCATCCGAGTCGACACCGGCAAGCGTGCTAGCCAACAGACCCATGACCTCCTCCTGAGTAAGTCCGTCCTGCGTACCGTTCTTGGATGAGTGCTTCTTCGGCAGGGCCGCGATGCTCTTCTCCCAAAACATGTGCGCATGCTCATCGCTGCAGAAGACGCTGCTGTTCTCCGGCCCATCATAGAGACGCGCGGCCTTTATGCAGTTCCTGTACGAGCACGTCTTCTTGAAGAGGCTGACGTTCTGGTCGCCGTCTGCGCAGTTAGGGCAGACGAAACGCTCAATGAGGTTCTCGCCAACCTCCTTGCTCATGCCAATGCACTCGCCGTGGAACCAGTCGTCGCACATGTCGCAAGAGATCATGAACCGGTGATCGTCTGGACCGCGGCAGATGCAATACGGTCCGTTGTCTGATTCTTCATCGGAACCTCCTGCCAAGTCATCTTGTAGATTAGCGGATGATGTCGTGGACGTTGCGTCAGTCTGCTTCTTGGGCTTGCTTGATTTCGATGGACCACCCTTGGGTCTTTTCGGCACCTTCTTGACTGCAGCGGTTCCCTTCTTCTTCGGTCCCATCTTTTGAGATTCTGATGGCTTCTCGGTGCTTTCTAGAATGGTGGAAGGAGAGAAAGCCTCTCTAGTTGGAGGGGGGAGAGAAGAATTGGGTTGTGATGACGGCGCCGTAATGAAATCCGTTTGCTCCTCTTCTGTATTCTGAAGTGCCGTTTGAGATGTGGTGGAAACTTGGCCGGGCGCGTCTTCCATCTCGAGATCCCCATCCTCGCCGCCTTTGATCTTTGGCTCCATGTCTGAATCCATGGCTTCCAGCATATATCTTTACAGCAGTGACGACCTGAAAGTGGAACACAGATATTGAGAGCGCAGGGTGAGAACAAAGAGTGAGTTTTAGTGAAAAGAAAAAGGAAAAACAATTTCGTTTGTTACGTGATGCACGGCGCTGAGGTTCACTAGATTGAAGTTACAGAATGAGAGTGAGTGAGAGTGGAAGGTCCAGCGTTAAGAAAAGACCCACGGCTATCTCGGTGAGATCGGCTAGCTCTCGGTCTGTTTCGGTGAACAGAACGATAGGGAAGGAATACCGCATCAATGGTTCTTCCGACCCACAATATTTTGGCAGGTGGCCCAAGCTCACCGAGAGCTTTTTTGGAGTCTTACGATTTTCGAATGACGAAGGCTCCCAGATTTCCCGGTCGGCCTGCATCATCTCGTTGATTAAATCTTCAATTACCTCAACCATGTCGCAAGCCACTACGAGGCTTCTGTGGAAGTCTCTTTCCTCCACAATTTCGACACAATGCCGACGATGCATCTCCCAATCGACGTCTCCTAAGCAGACCCGGCCGACTACCGCTGCGCCGAACATGCTTCAGACGAGACCTTCCCCGGCGCAAAGGAGGACGAAGACGTTCAAGACCGTAGAGGAGGCAAAGAGCAGATACAGAGCAGGGGTATGGTCTCTATCTAGAGTACTTGGGTGCCGTTGTCATTGAGAGTGGTCATGCTGACTGGATGTCTGAACCAGCCCTTTTCGTGGAAGGCAGGCCTGCTGTTCGTCGGAACCGGTGTTGGTCTGACATGGTACTTTGAGGCCGAGAAGCAGCGCATGGAGCGCAAGCGCATTGCGGAGGCGACTAAGGGCATGGGACGGCCCAAGGTGGGAGGACAGTTCGAGTTGACCGACCAGAACGGCAACAAGTTCACCAGCGAGGATATGAAGGGTCGCTACGCACTGGTTCGTGGAGCCGTACAATATCGCAAGGGAAGAAGAACAAGAAAAAGCTGACAATGTCTGCCACAGGTCTACTTCGGCTTCACGCACTGCCCCGACATCTGCCCCGACGAACTCGACAAGATGGCCCAGATGTACGACCTCGTCGAGAAGCAGCGCCCCGGCTCCGTCCTGCCCCTCTTCATCACCTGCGACCCGGAGCGCGACACTCCCAAGGTGGTCAAGGAGTACCTGTCCGAGTTCCACCCGAAATTCATCGGCCTGACGGGCACCTACGACGAGATCAAGGCCATGTGCAAGCTGTACCGCGTCTATTTCAGCACGCCGCAGCACGTCAAGCCGGGCCAGGACTACTTGGTGGACCACAGCATATACTTTTACCTGATGGACCCCGAGGGCGACTTTGTTGAGGCGCTGGGGCGGCAGCACTCGCCGTCGCAGGCGGCCAAGATTATTCTGGACCATATGAATGATTGGCAGGGAGGGTGGAAGAAGGAGGAGTAGGTTGAGAGAAAGCGAGAAGATTGATGAAAGTGCGTGGTGTACCAACTTGTGTAATATGTACTATCAACTGTTATATGGATAGACCTTTGAGCCATCTTTGCTCCAAGACCACTCAATCACACTGCAATGCCTTGGAATGTTTGCAATCGATGGAACATTATTGCAGCCTTCCTCAATTTAGCCTTGATTCTCAACGAATGGAGGTCGATGTATCTTTGAGACTGTAGTTATGGCAGTGAGTGCACCGTAATTGCATTTTAAGGAAACATTTCTTGTACCTAGTACGGAATCATCAAACTCCCTCCTGAGCCTTCGTAGCTTTGATGCTATCTACAGAAATCCAGACTGTTGTCTTTGGCGACTAACACACATGAATCATGAACTATGAGAAGGAACGCATCTATCTGAATTATAGGTCTTTGGTATCAGAATGTAGCTTCCTCACCTAATAATGAGGCGGCCGGTTTCAAGGCGTTGCATTGAATGATGGGCTCAAGACGCACCCCGCAGACCTGAGGTCGACTCAGCCGCTAAAATTAGCGAGCGAGCGGAGAGCATTGGACGGATGGCAGGGGTAGGTCCCCTGCAGGGGAGAGCTCAGTCAGTGTTGACCGTTATCCGTTATCCGTGCCCACGGGCTCAACCTCGACCACACGGGCAACCTCGACTCATCATCACTCTTACACTCAAACAGCACCCATTTTTCCTTTCACGTTCTGTCATGCAGCATATTTGAATTCCAGATTGATTTTGAAGGGACTTGCATTTTACACATCATGAGACAGGCAGTCAGGACAACGGGCCTCGGTCGGCTCGTCTCGAGGCCACTCACCACTTCACCGACACCTTTCAGGTGCGCGGCTGCCGGTATCGGGCGTCACGAGAGAGAACTTTCCGGGCTGAGGAGGGTTACGCTGCCTTTGACGAGATTACCGGGCGCCACCAAGACTTTTGGTTCGGAACGGTGGTTCAGTAGCAAGAAGCCGGTTTTCGAGGCGGGCGAAGCCCCGTCGTTTGCATTTGCTTTTGAGTGAGTCAAACCCAACAGCGCGAGAAGGCGTAGCTCATTGGGGGGCCCGATGAGGTCCTGGAAGCCATAACCATCACCCATGTTCCACCAGGAACTGTGTAAGAGACGTGACTAACGAGAGAGGGCAGCATCGATGGCGTTCTGTTGCACGTGGCCAAGCCCATTCCCGGGGCCGCCGAGTCGCTGCAGTATCTCAACGACAACAACATCCCGTTCATCCTCCTGACCAACGGCGGAGGCAAGCCCGAGGCCGTCCGGGTGAAGGACCTGAGCGACAAGCTCGGGGTCAAGCTCTCGGTGGACAACTTTGTCCAGTCGCACACTCCCTTTCAAGAGCTGGTGCAGGGGCCGGAGGGACTGGGAGACAAGACCATCTTCCTGACGGGTGCCGATGCGAGGAAGTGCAGAGAGATTGCCAAGCTGTAAGTCAATCACCTTTGAGAGTTCGCATGCTCTCTAAGCTTCACACCAACTGACAATCCAACAAGGTACGGCTTCAAGAACGTGGTGACGCCTGCAGACATCATCCACGCCCACCCCGAAGTATTCCCCTTTGAACTCCTCAAAAAGTCGGTCTACGCAGACTCCCACGAGACCCTACCGAAACCGATCCACGACGGCACCGTAGCAGACGCGGACGCGCTCAAAATCGACGCAATGTTCGTCTTCAACGACCCGCGGGACTGGGCTCTCGACATCCAAATCATCACCGACCTGCTCTTGTCGCGCAACGGTCTGCTGGGAACGTACTCGCCCAAGAACGGCGACGCGTCGCTGCCGAACGGCGGGTGGCAGCAAGACGGGCAGCCCCCGCTCATCTTTTCGAATGCGGACCTGTTCTGGTCGACGACGTACCACCAGCCGCGGTTCGGACAGGGGGCATTCCAGGCGGCTGTGGCGGGCGTGTGGAAGGAGGTCACGGCGGGGCAGGCGGAGTTGAAGAGGACTGTGTTTGGGAAGCCGTTTGCGACTACGTATCAGTATGCAGAGCGGGTTCTTGATGCCCATCGAAAGGCGCTGCTTGGTAAGAGTAAGAGTGGTGGTGGTGGAGATGCCGCGCCGTTGAAGACGGTGTACATGGTGGGGGATAACCCGGAGAGCGACATCCGGGGCGCGAATGATTACAGTAACGAGGAGACGGAGTGGGCTTCTGTGCTGGTGAAGACGGGTGTTTGGAGCCAGGAGAGGGGCGCGCCTACGCATGAGCCCAAGATGATTGTGGATGATGTCAAGGCGGCGGTTGAGTGGGCGTTGCAGAGGGAGGGAAGGTCGGCCAAGATCTAGCCATGCGTTGGAGCATGTTGGTACTAGAAGCTTCTCAAGTAGTGTGTTGTATTTAGGCAATATAGTCGTAGCCCACCGGTGAATGGCAGAGCGTGTAACTACAAAGCCAGCTGGACCGTGTAATACAAGGTGTGGCAGAGCTCAATCGAGAGAGAGAGAAAGAGAGAGAGAGTGTGTGTGTGTGCAGTGTGTGCTAAAAGTACGTGTACCAAGGTCTGTACATGTATTGAAGCAGGATTTTGCAATTTAGACGTCTACACGGTCTGTCCCAGCGATATAGCGTCGTGTACATTTAAAGAAGGAGATTGGACGGTCAATTGAGGCACATGGCAATTACCGGCATGGTAATTGGAGAAGAACCCAAATACCATTTTCGCCCAAAGCTGTCAATTGATGTCAACTGCTGTCAATTTTGGGGGCGAACTGTTGGTGTGTCGCCATGTACGTCACATGCAAGACGCGCGCGCCATGCCATGGAAAGCAAGGGTCGGGAGCTCCCGACTGGTACAGTAGGGTCCCCCTGACGTCACATTTAGTCTTGTCTTTTCGGGATGGTTGCGTGGTTGCGTGGCATTGCCATGGAACCGGGCTGACAGAGACTTAAAGGTGCCAAACTTGACGTTGGTTAAGGTACTCTAAAGTATGTTTCTGTGGCCTCGTGAGATGTCATGTCGGTGACAGAATCCTTCCCGAGTTTTTTTTAGCTGGTGGTGAAGTGATGGAGGAGCGAATTGGTGTTAGTGCGACGATAAGAAGAACCCTTGCTCTGGAATTGTGCAGTTACCTGAAGACAAGACAAGGTACCTTGACATGTGAGGTGGGCGGAAGTCGGCGGAATACCAAATTTGTGCGGTTGTCGTCGGGTGCATTTGCGGCACTGCGGGACAATGTACGGTCTAAAGCGCGCTATAAGGAACCTGGGACCAATGATAAGGTACCTACCTTTACGCAGTATATACGCACTACTTACTTTTGTAAAGCGGGCAGGGATGACGGCGAGGGGTGCACCTGACCACTTCCAGCTGGAGGTCCACTGCCTGGAGCTCTCCCCAGTGGTCCCCGTCCCCACGGCTCGGTCAACCAAAGCGACCAACGGCCCATAACTGCAACCTCCTCAGAACCTCGCACCACACGACTAGTTGCCCTTTTGCTGTGGCTGTAATTCGCCTAACAACCGCTCAACGTGTTTTGTTGTGTCTTTCTTTTCTATTCTTTGGCCCTTCATCTGAACACCCTTCTTCTTTGCATCGTTTCCCCGCACAAACTCTTGCCATTCTCGTCTCATCCTCTCGTAAATCTTCCTCTTCCAGAACCACTTCGAGAACCCAACCTAACCCAGCCTGCAGCCAGCCCCCCCGTCACCCCTCACAGTTGGGGTCCATCTTACACTACCAGGTACCTTACCTACCTGGTCTGAAGGTGACCCGTGTCGCCTGCGTGCCCCACGATAAACCGCTCCGTGTCTTTTTGCGCCGGGCCCGATAAGAAACCTCTAGCACCCGACTCCGTACTTATCGTGGGATTCCCATTCTCTGAGCCCCTCCCCTCCAGGCTCCCCCATACCCAACCTAAGCTGCAATCGCAAACTGTCACCTCTCACCTCCCCAAAGGAGGATAACCTCGATTTTCTTCACCGACGCACATTGCAAATCCCCTGTCATCTCACGCGAGCAAAATTTCCTCTATCCGTATAGCCGCGAACCTAGCACCATTACCCGACTTTGTGCGCGCGCGCGAGACTCCCTTCTCTCATAAACTCTGTTGCGCCCGCCTCTTCTTCCTCTGTCTTGCCTGCCAAGATGTCATCCTCTTCGTCGCCCCAGATCACTGGACAGCAGCAGCCCCTGCGATCAGCCATGAAGACGGATGAAGAGTGCGCGTCCAACACCGCCAAAGGTCAGTTCAAAAAAACGTCTGGCTTCGTCTCATTTTAAACATACCCACGGTCTGCAGGCTCGGCACTCCCATCAAGTGGTATCGTGTCATCTCGACAGTGATGGGGGGATAAGGGGTCGCACACATGTGGCTGGCAGTCGAGCCGCGATAGTAACTCGTTTCAATGCTCATGCTTGTGCCCATGTCTGCGTGCCTGCCCCGCGTCACCCAGGAACACTTTACTGCTCATCGCAGACACGGCTTGATGGACCGGTATCGTTGCTGGGCTTATGACGTGTAAGAAAAGACACATGATGTACTAACCTTCTCACAGTCGTTCAAATCGCTGAGCCAGAGGCTGACGCTGTCGCCCCGCCTCCACCTGCCCCGCCTTCCGATCATCACCACAAGAGACAGTACGCCGCCAACATGGCCAAGAGGTTGACAGGTCGCATGGGCCTCACCAGCTCCTCATCGTCTCGCTCTTCCCCTGTCATGGAGCCGTCGCCTGGCCCGTCTTCCGACGATGCTACCGCTGCTGCTGCTGCTGCTGCTGCCGCAGCCGCAGCTCAAGCCTCTCATCACCACCATCGCCACGGCCACAAGGCCCACTACGAGAGTCAGAAGCTGCTTGCCCAGCTCAACGACTGGTTAGAGCATGAGAAGAAGAAGAAGGCTGCCCGGAAGAGCAAGACATCGCCCCGACGCCGCTCACCGCAGTCAAAGACCAAGAAGGAACAATCTCCTGCGGCAGAGACGGCAGACCCGACAGCCCAGCCCGCTGCTCCTCGCTCACGCTCGGACTCCATCGACTCCGATTCCAGCGACGTTTCCTTCGATAGGCTGCAGAAGATCATAGAGGACAGCATGGCTTCTATGGGAATCAGCTCGGTGCCTCAAATGAGCCCCAAGGTCGGCAGGCGCCCCTCCCTCCGTCACAAGAAGTCCTTGTCGCGTAGCATGCTCCACAGGACGGCAAGCTCCGACACCGATTACATCGGCGAGGATGTCATAGTACCAACCTGCGACGCAATTCTCGACAACTCAAAGACCCTCAGCTACAGTGGTGGTGGCAAGAGTACCGACGACCTGACCCTTGGTGGCCAGGCGGACGAGAAGGAGAAGGCCTGGGAAACGTTCAAGAATGAGATTGTGCGTCTAGCCCATACTCTGAGAATCAAGGGTTGGAGAAGAGTTCCTCTGGACAGTGGCAACAGCGTCATCGTGCAACGTCTCAGCGGAGCCTTGACCAACGCCGTCTACGTCGTCTCTCCTCCCGAAGACCTCGGGGAAGTACCCGGCAAGAAGCCCCCACCAAAGCTCCTCTTGCGCATCTACGGACTCGAAGCCCTCATCGACCGCGAGAACGAACTTAGCGTGCTCCGGCGACTGGCGCGAAAGAAGATTGGCCCGAGACTCCTCGGGTGCTTCACCAACGGCCGCTTCGAGGAGTACTTCAACTCCATCACCCTCACCCCCAACGACCTGCGCGATCCCGATACCTCCAAGCAGATTGCTAAGCGCATGCGGGAGCTCCACTTTGGCATCGACGTCTTGGACAGAGAAAAGGATGAGGGACCTGCCGTGCTCAAGAATTGGGATGCCTGGCTCGGCAACGTCGAGAAGAAGATTTGCGCCCTCGACGAAGGCGTACGCAATGGCAACTGCGTCTTCCGCGACCGCGGGTACGTGTGTGGTGTGGAGTGGAAGCAGTTTAAGGAGCTTTACGACAAGTATCGCGAGTTGGCTCTCAGCGCCTACAAGGGCCACGCCATCCGCGAGCGTCTCGTTTTTGCCCACAACGACGTGAGTGCACTTGCCCCTATCTTTTACCCCCAAATGTCAAAGTCAGTCACCAGCTAACACGCTCTTCCAGACCCAATACGGCAACATCCTCCGCATGCGCCCCGACGACGAAAAGTCCCCCCTCCTGAAGCCAGCAAACGAGCACAAGCAGCTCGTCGTAATCGACTTCGAGTACGCCGCCGCCAACGTCCCAGGCCTCGAGTTCGCAAACCACTTCACAGAATGGTCCTACAACTACCACCACGAATCCCTCCCCTTCCTCTGCAACACGGCAGTCTACCCAACCATCCAGGAACAGCGCCGCTTCCTCAAAGCCTACGTCGAGCACCGCCCCCAATACACCCACGGCGGCGCCTCCACCCCCCGCCTCACCCCCGCCGGCGCCGCAGACGGCAGCAGCGCCGTCGGCACGCCCGCCCTCCTCCCCACCAGCTCCTCATCCTCCATCGTCGAGTTCATGCTCGACGCCCGCGTCCCGCCCAACCACTGGAAAGAAGAAGAGCGCCGCGCAGAGGAGGCCGTCGAGGCCGAGATCAAGGAACTCTACGAGGAAACCCGCCTCTGGCGCGGCATCAACAGCGCGCAGTGGGTAGCGTGGGGCGTCATCCAGGCTAAAGTCCCCGGGTTCGAGTCCCAGGAGGAAATCGAGCAGCAGGAGAAGCAGGCGCAGAACGAGGCCGCCGCGGCCGCGGGCGACGCGGACGCCAAGGCTGAGGTGCAGGCTGCCGCGGAGGCCGAGGACGAGGGCGACGAGTACGATTACCTGGGCTACGCGCAGGAGCGAGCGTTCTTCTTCCTGGGCGATTGTGTGCTCATGGGGATCGTGAAGAAGGAGGAGTTGCCCGAGGACGTGCAGTCCCGGCTCAAGATTGTGGATTACTGAAAGTAGTAACCTAGCATTTGACGGAGACTGGCTACTTTTTTTTTTTGGGTGCCTTTCTTTTGCACATACACCGTTTACAATGTACCAGATTTCAAAGCTCAAAAAAAGTCTAGTGATGTGAAATGTTTAGTTGTAGTGGAGCATTGTTGTATTCTTGTGTGCCATCTAGAAGTTTCTTGCGCTGCACGTGTTGTGCTAGTAGCTACTCTATGACAGCCTTGCTCCTCCCATCTCTACTTCCTCGCGGTAGTAAACACCACAAGCAGTATCTCCATTGTCCGTTATCACCCAAAAAGCACCTCAACCCATCTTGTTATACCGCTCCCTAGCCCGATCCTGCACCGTATTCACATACTCGGCATAACTGTTCGTCGTCTTGCGCTGCGCGAGCTCCGCCGCGTCGCCCAGGTTCCCGCCCTCGGCGCCGAGGCCGACACCCTCCTGGTACGCGTGCGTAGCAATCACCTCGGTGCGGCCGTCGCCGTTGGCGCCCAAGCCCTGCCCCGTGCTCCAGCCCATCTTGGCCAGCATCCCCGCGCCCTTGGATTTCGGAGGCGCCGGCGGAGGTGTCTTCTCCTTAGATGCCGCCGCCGGGGGATTGGCGGTCTTATCGTCTTTGCGCGCTGGTTTATTACCGCCTTGGACGGGTACCTTTGGTTTTGCGGGTTGGTTAAACACCTCTCTTCGCTCCTTGGCGCGGTCGCGGTACTGCGGTGCTGATTCCTCGTCCGCCGCTGGTGCCGCCGGCTGCTCTTCTGCTTGCTTTGCCATCCTCTTGTCGCGGGCAGCTAGTCGCGGCTTAGCTGCCTTGACCTTCTCCTCATCTGCAGTAGCGTTCTTGTGATTTCTTGACTTTTCATGCGTACTTAGATCATCCAGAGATTTATACTTCATCATGCAGATCAAACAGCAGATCTTTTCGCGGTCCACGTATGATACTGATGCTTCCGGCGTAGATGTCTTGTCTGGAGCCGCAGTTCCCGTCTGAGGCGCGGGTGTCTGAGAGTGCTCAATAGTAGGGGCCCCATTCGGCGATGCTGTCGGAGCAGGGGCTTTCGGAAGGCTTGCCCCAGTCAAAGAAATCTTGATAGGGCCGGTAGAAATTGCGTTCGCGCCAGATAGAGAGATCTTCACAGGGGCGCGCTCTTCCGATTGACCATTTTCACCAACTGCATCGGCGGCTCGCTTGCCCTCGTGTATTTCGACATGCCGTTTCTGCCAAAACGCCATTTGTCCAGCCATCGGTACCGACTTTTTGGTGGAAGAGGCGGGCAGATTCCCGTCCGCCTTGCGTTTCTTGCCCTTCTTCGCCTCGTCGGCAGCATCCCCTTTGCCTCCGTCTCCAGAGGTGCCGCCAGGGGGAACCTCGGTGATCACTCTCTGGCTGGGATAGACGTGGGGCTCCCAGTACTTGACCCGAATAGCCGGGTTGAAGAGCGGGTTGAACGAGACACGCTCGTTAAATCGCGTCACTTCCCTGAGTTCTGGCACGAAGACGCCCAGATGGATGGTCGAAACTGTCACAGGCTTCGTGGCAATCGTGAATTCGCGCATCATCTGAAACTTCTTCATGGCCGCCATCGCATCTTCCACTGTCCAGAACTCGGCGAATCCAAAGTTGAATGACTCGTTCGTCTCTTGATCACGCATCAAGAATGTGCGGTGGAGAGAGCCCGGCCTTGCGCCGTAGCCAGATGCATCGCCTGTCGGGGCAGTGGACTTGAGCTTTGGCCCGTCGCCGGAATTCCTTGCTGCTGCTTGCTTTTGCACCAGCTCTAGTTTTCCAGCTCCCGCCGAGAACACATCCTCGTTGACGGATGGCGCCAAAGGGAAGAAAACCAAGATCTGAGAAGGTGTATCGGATGCATCGCTCTCGCCAGTCAATAGAAATCGGTATTGGGACGGATCTGGCCGAGTCAGTACGGTCTCGCACTTCCGTAAGAAGGATCGTTGAATGTGCATACCTGTGGGCGGACCGCCGCAGTTCTTGCAACGGCTTCTGGTCGCATAGTTTGAAAAGTCACAGGTCGGACAGCTCCAATTAGCGGCAGTTCCAGCGCGACTTTCCCGCTCAGCGTCATCGCGGTTCCTTGCGTAATGGATGTAAATCAGGGTCATGCCATCCGTGCTATCATCAACCTCCCCGCTAAAGAAATTGATAACAAGCTTAGGGTAGTTTGCTTTAACAAACTCGACCGCCTGCTCGACATTCTCGAACTGCGCGAAAGCGCGACGCTTGCCTGGCGAAGATGTAAGCAAGTGCAGGTGAGAGGGTTGGGGGATAGGTGGCTTACCTCGCCCAGTTGAGGGGATGCGAAGATCGACAGATGGATATTGTGATAGATCGGACTGTTTAAAGAGACAATCCCGCACCGTCTCGAGAGATACATCGGATGGTAAACCTTCCAGGATTACAGTATCACTCGGAGTACCAGCTTGTCGAAGAGGCGATGTAGAACGATCGCGACGAGGATGGCGATCTGGGCTGCCACCTGGAGAGGCGGAAAAATGACGAAGATCCTCGTCAGTACCACGTCGGGCATCATCGCGGCGAGTGCTATCGTCGTAGTGAGGGCGAGAGTAGCCCCGGCCATCTCGATCGTAACGACGTGATCCGCGGTCGTCGCCGTCATGTGGGTGAAGTAGCGCAGCGTCTTCATCACGGCGATCCATATAGTCATCCCGACCACCGCCTTGATCTCCCGATCGAGGACGTGGCTCGTGGGCCTCACGCGGCGGTCCATGGTAGTAACGGTCGTGGTCTCTTGCGCGGTATTCTGCAGTCTCACGATCCCAATTCCGGTCCCGATCCCAGTCGCGCTCGCGACGGCGGGTATCCTCCGGGGCGTAGCTGTCGTCGTCGTAGGACAGCTCGAGGTTATTCCTGGGGGGAGACCTAGAAGAGTCTCGTCGTCCCGTGGGCAAGTTAGCAGAAGCTCAAACCAGCCAGATGTACTGCAGATGGTCATGTCCTCCGCAGGCTCAGCTTAGTCTCTTTACCCTGCCGCGTTCGAAAGCCGTCGTTGTCTGAATACTGTTGTTGATCTCGTAGAGGGGATCTTCGTCGCTCGTACGGTCCCCTCTCGCGCGCGCGATGGTTGTCCTCGTACATGATCGCGGATCGCAGGAAGGGGTGTGTCCGATCTTTATGCGCGCTGCTTCGGGCGTGATTTGGGTCGAGTTTTGCTTGGTCCGGAAAGAAGAAGAGGAGGGAAGGAAGGAGTAAGGCGCGGTGCTGTCCCCTCGTGAGGCGTACGACAAGACCGTGCCTTTATGCTTCAACCAGGTATTGGTGGAACACAGAGGGCGACGGGCCTCAGTAATGGGCTTGGGCGAAGTCGGGAATGAAGAAGGGATGGTTCAAACAAAGCTCGGGCCGGCAGAAGCTCACCCCCCTGGCAACTTCCATTCGAAGTCGACTTGCGGCTGCCTAGGTAGGTTTCATGGGATTGCACCTTATCTCTTGCTTAGTCAAGCGGGGTCGTCGATAAGGTTGGTATGGACCTGGTCCGCGTTCCTCCATCCTTGTACCTTGTACCTGGGTACTCATCAACTTCGTCCTCCCCACGTTCATCATTGTCATCTTTTGAGGTAATTTCAACCCAAGGTTCTTAAGTAATCAGCATATCGTTGGCAACTGAGAGAGAATTATTGATCATTTCAAGTTTGTTGCATTAGATCTCCAACAGAGAGTTGAGCGGCGTTGACCAAAATCCTTCAACTAAATCCTTCAACTTCAAAAAGCCCATCGTCATCTTGGATACTTACACGGCCTCAACCCCACCATTTCTTTCTGCCATCAACCACGACTCGAAGGAGCAGACACATCTTTCCACCTCTATTGTTCGCAAATCCCATAGGCATGGAGAACCAAGATCAAGGACCGTGGGAGGTCTCCGAGGACTCCTGCTACGTTGCCCTTACCTACCATCTCCTCGACGCTTCAGCCATCATGAACCGAGTCCGCTCACCACAAGCCGGCGCCATCGTCCTCTTCTCTGGCACAACACGCGACACATTCGGCGACAAACCCGTCAAAGAGCTGCAGTACAGCGCCTACACGCCGCTTGCCCTCCGCACCATGATGTCCATCGCCAAGGCCATCGTCGAGAAGCACAGCTTGAAAGGCTTCGCCATGATTCACCGTTTGGGAACAGTCCCCATCGGCGAGGAGAGCATCTTGATTGCGGTGTCGTCACCGCATAGACAGGCTGCGTGGAGGGCTGGTGAGGAGGCGTTGGAGGAGTGCAAGGCCAAGGTCGAGGTATGGAAGCGGGAGGAGTTCCATGGCGAAGAGGGCGTGTGGAGGGCGAATCGAGATGGTATTGCTGGGCAGAAAGAGACTGTTGGGGATCGAAGCCATCTAGAAAGCTCTAGTCCAACTCAAACATGAATTTTTAAACATTTGATGACCATTTTCGTAAGAATGCGCATCACATTTGTGAAAGATGCAGGCTGCTTCCATCCGTGCCAGGGAGTTTACCATCACACGGAATGAGCTGCTCGCAAATCCAGACGTGATATCCTTTTCGCCAGTAGGTAAGTTAACTAATAAGCTGTGTCACTTGATCAAGCATGACGCGTGCCGATTGGAGACTATCACGTCTTGGGCGTTCAAGGGGCTCACCTAGGTCATGGGTCATGAGCAGGGAAAGACATTTACGGCGCCCTCATTGAAGTCTCACAGTATAGATTCAACATTTTGGACATATCAGCACTTTTAATATTTGTGACAGAATATGGGCATTTAATTTGCCTGTATCTCGGTATCCAAGCGCGCCAAGTCATCTATGCATCTAGCTTCAGATGATCCAGCATTGTATCGATCTTTCCAAGTAAGATCTGGTAATTGATCGCATCTGAAGCGAACTCGTCTTCGGCCACCTCTCCACCAAGAGTCTTGACTCCCTCTCCATCTTCGCCATTCTCAACAGGCTCAATAGCGGAAGTAACAGGGGCGGTTTCCTGTGGGGTAGCACCATTTTCACAGATCTCCTCATTCAACTGTTCGCTCTGTGCAGCGATGGCCTCTGCCAATTCGGGGTTGATCTCTCCCTCTTCATCCATCATCTCCTCAAGATTAGCGTCCTCAAAACGCAAACGGAAGCGCTCGCCCAGATAATATCGGATATCATCCAACAACTCAATGGTGTCTGTCTCTTCACGGTTCTTGAGTCTCTCTGCACTTTCCTTGATCAGGTCCGCAAACTCGGCCTCATCAATGTAGTCCTCTAAGCGGTTGGCCAGGTACCGAGCAGCAAACTCTTCCAGGCGCTGGACACGCAGGTCCCACGCCGCGTGGATGACGTCGTAGATGTTAATAGGCTCCATATCCTCTTCCCGGTGATCCTCTCCATCGGGTCTGTGGGTGCGATCAGCCCAGATGTTGCTACTGCCGCTTCCGAGGGTACTAATGGCTTGCGCTGCTTTCGTCTTGAGCTTGTCGAGGAAGAGAATGTCGGCCGTGTAGAGCAAATCCAACGCGAAATCCAGAGGGCAGTCCACCTTCTCAGTGTACAAGAACGTAAGCACAATTTCGAGGACCTCGGGCATACAGTCCACTGTGACGACGTGTAGGTTCTCCGAGTCCTGTGCCTCTCTGAACTCGCTGGAGAACATGGTCTCGAAGTACGGGCTGCGGATGAGCATCGCCTTATGAACGGGGTAGACCACCGACTTTCGAGGCCGTTTCCTGGGTTTATCGCCGTTGGATGCAAGGCCGAGCGGAATGCCGACAGCATGGACAACATTGTCAGGATCCTCCGCATCATTCTCGATCTCGTCGCTTTCCGGCTCGTGTGCGCAAAGGAGGCAATCGGCAAAGATGGAGTTGTCGTGACGCCATTTCACTTCGCCGACCCTCTTCGTCTCCACGATCATTTTGTGGCCCAGGACCTTCTCCCGGTAGAAACGATCAATCTGGGCCTGCGCGCGCTTCACCTCGTCCTCGTACCTCTGGCGCGACAGTCGCCGGTCGTTGCCCGCCAGGATTGCCTCCCATAGTTGCTCGATCTCGAGCTGTTTGCTGAGCTTATCAACACCAGTGAGAACCTCTTCTTCCGTCACGGTACTGCGAGCATTGACCACATCCTTGGGTACTTCTCCTAGGTACAGATAGCGTAGGGCGACTTGGAAAGACTCGAGCGGGTAGGTGGTCGGGAGCTTCCATGTTGCGGTATCGGGTGCGCCATCGAGCTTCTTCCTGAAGTACGGAGTCCGTGCTGCTAGGAGGAACTTGTGCATGTTGAAGGACTGCGCTGCTGCAATGAGGCTGATGTCGGTTGTCCTTGGAACGTTCTTGGAAAGTAGGCTGGTAATGTGTCCGGCCCAAGGTTGGAGCGGGTCTGTAGACTTGGAATAATCATACTCTAGCAGGAGATTTCGTATCCTATCATTGAGGGCGTTGTAAATGCATCGTTCGCCCTGAAACGTGTTCCTTTCGGCCAGTGCACCTTTTAAGTTGATCAGTTAATACGTCTCACTGTACGTCAATATGTATAACCCACCGGACTCAAGAAGTAGTTGTACGAGTTCTAGATGCCCACATAAACTGGCCTTGATGCTTATTGTCAGTGAGACCTCAGCCAAAGGTACGGGGACTGCCTACTCACAACAATCAAGGGTGTGTAATCAAAACGATCTTTGCCATTGATATTCACGCCAGCCGAGATCAGCTCCTGACACGTCTTCAGGTCGCCTCTTCTGCAAGCCAGCAGGAAAGCCTCGAACTCGGCCGTCTGATCCAAGGGGTTGTCCTCTCTAAGTACGCCATTTGCGATCAACTCATGCTCTTCTTTAAGCTGTACTTCTAATTCATCTTTTCGGAGAACCATGATGACGAACTCAACGAACAGGACGGATCTCTATAGCCTGAAAAGTCTAAGCAAATGGTTATATGAAAGAAATGCATCAAATAAGAGACAAGTTCAAGTTCGCCTCCACATCTGGGACATTGAAGATCTCAGTGAGAATGAAGTCCGATAACTCCATGAGGTCGCCTCTGCACGGGCCACTTTGGACCTTCCTTACGTGATGGCTTCCAGTACATCATCAGTGCCCCACCATTGAACCCCTCCAGAGCTAAAGTTCTAACTTATCGATAAGAGATACGCGAAATTGACCCACTTCGAGACATGGAGCTGGATTATCTCAGCTCCGTTACTAGCGTCGTTGCCATGGCATCGGCCCCCAGTTGTTTACCCGAGCTCGATCTTGTTAGTCCCATGCAACCAAGTTCACAGCTTTGACTTGCAGTGCACCTTTCCCGGTCAACCACCACCAACAGCTCGGATACTAACATAGCAGGTTCGCGACCGTCGCTTTTCTTTGCCTCTCAACTTCTATGGATACATACAAAGATTCACTTTAATCAAATTCATTGCGTGTTGCATCCAAGATGTCTTTGGAGGCGGATAAGTATGAGGTGCTGGAGAAAATCGGTAGGCACTACCATTCACGAGCTTTTCACGTTGCAACCGACCAAAGGGCTCTTCACTAATCAAACAATCCAACAGGCCATGGTTCCTTTGGAATCATCCGAAAGGTTCGAAGAAAGGCCGATAACCTCGTCATGTGTCGGAAGGAAATCAGCTACCTCAAGATGTCGCAAAAGGAGCGAGAGCAGCTCCACGCCGAATTCCACATCCTCTCAACCCTCCGCCATCAAAATATCGTCGGCTACTACCATCGCGAACACCTCAAATCAACCCAAGACCTTCACCTCTACATGGAGTACTGTGGTAATGGCGATCTCGGTCGCGTTATCAGAGATTTGGCTGTCAAGGGTCAGCGCGCACAGGAGTCATTCGTGTGGAGCATTTTCTCGCAGCTGGTTACTGCGCTCTACAGATGCCATTATGGCATCGACCCTCCCGAGGTTGGCAGCAATGTGCTGGGCCTCTTCAGCACAGCTTCCAAGCCTAAGACGCCCCCGGGAACCATGACCATTCTGCATCGCGATCTCAAGCCGGAGAATGGTATGTTTCAACGCCCTATCAATCGATGTGACATGTGCTAATTGAGAACAGTATTCCTTGGAGAGGACAACTCCGTCAAGCTTGGTGACTTTGGCCTGTCCAAGATGATTCAGTCCCATGACTTCGCCTCCACCTATGTCGGCACACCATTTTACATGTCGCCCGAAATCTGCGCCGCTGAGAAGTACACACTCAAGTCGGACATCTGGTCTTTGGGTTGCATCATCTACGAGCTCTGCACGCGCGAGCCCCCATTCAACGCCAAATCGCATTTCCAGCTTGTTCAGAAGATTAAGGAGGGCAAAGTCTCGCCTCTTCCCAGCTGCTATTCCAGCGAGCTTATGGGCACTATCAAGGACTGCTTGAGAGTCAACCCCGACCACCGCCCGGACACTGCGCAACTACTCAATCTCCCTGTTGTGCGATTGATGAGAAAGGAGAGAGAAGTTGTTGAGCTCAACAAGGTCGTTCAGAAGAAGGAGGATTCATTGGCTCGCCGCGAGAAGGAATTGAAAGAGAGAACAGCCGCCTTTGAGGCTGACAAGGCCTCCGTCAGACAAGAGGTCGACAGCTCGCTGCGAAGAGAGTGGGAGGTTAAGGCGCGTCTCGAGATCGATCGGCAAATCAACTCAGAAATTGAGGCCCTCCGAAAGCGATTCGAGAGCGAGGTTCAGTCTCGTGTCGAAGCCGAATTGCAGAAGAAGACGATTAGCTTGGCTGCCGAGCCCATGCACGCGTTGGACCTCGCAACGTCGCAAACAAAGTCAGACTACCCGAGATCTTCCGTTGGTAACGGTAGCGGAGACGACGAGCTCTCATCGTGTACCGATCTCACCGATATCTCTTCAGACAGTCCTTTCACGAGCAAGAAGGCTACTCGCACCCCCTACAGCAGAGCCCAAACCATGTTCGTCGGCGGCCAAGGCACCCCTATGGATATCGAGATGGCATCCCCCTCACCTATCGCTATTGCTTCACTTTCATTATCACCTAGACGACATGCTGGAACTCAGGTGCCCAAGCTTAACAGCGGAAACCTATTCTCGGGCAACGCCGCTTCTTCTGGCGACCCCATGTGGGACGTCCCTCGTGACACCATCAGCATCGACTCCGACGACGAGGACATTGTTCCCTCCCCAACACGCAACATCAAGTCGAAACACAACCCTTTCACGTCCAAGAACCGTCCGGTCTTGATGTCTCAAAAGACTGCTCCCATTACTCGAGTCAAGCCTCAAGGATCGGCAACTGGTTTGAACCAGAACAAGACGCTGCCCTCGCTGCCCAACATGGCCTCGAACCCTGACCTCAGCCGCGGTCTCCGCGAGCGCTGTCAGTCGCCTAACCGCCGATTGAGTAAGATTCCTTCGGCAGCGAACCTGTCGGCTGCAAACGGCAGCGAATCTCCCGGCGGTCTTTCCCGCAAGAACTCTACCAAGAAGGATCAGGAGCCCCTCGGTAAGGTTGCGGCTAAGAACAACATCAAGGGCAGAACGCTGGTCGAACTCCAGCAGGCCAGAGCAGGAGGTCGTCCTCTTTCCGCTGTGATGTCTGGTGGCGAGAACATGAGCCCTAAGAGGGCATTCAAGGATCGTATCGCGGACCGCCGGGCTAGTGGCGGCGAGCCTGCCGCGGTATGGGATCCCGAGCGGGACGAGATGCCCAGTCCGTTCCTGATCAGACGTAAGCCCATGGCCAGAGTCTAAGATCATTTCTTTTCAATTGGCATACAAGAGCGTTGGGTGGCGAAGATACCATAGCATGCACACGGGTCATTCATTGGTTGTTATTGTCGTTGCTCATTTATCACTCTCTTTTGTTCTGGCGGCACCGAAAAAAGTTGAAGGATATCTTCCGATGGAGGTAATTGTGGGTGTCTATACACAGCAATCCTGAGTCCCGGTGATGATCAGACGGGACTCTTGACTTTCACACTTATGAAGATGGATTTTGGAGGTGTTGGATTGGAACGGTACGGTGTTGCCGGACTCGGCTGGGGTTTCATTTTCGATGCAGACGTTGCCACGGCGTTTGGTAGATTGCTTTATTGGTTACCTGTACATGTTGCATAAGGGCTTTGCAGGTGTAGTTTTATCACGGACGAGACAAATATTCATCTTTTCACATACTATGTTTTGATCTTCTCGTACAATGACGTTGTGAACTATAGAATGACTGATCTCGTTGTATTGGATACCGCATGCATATGATGTTACCCGCGTGTCAATAGTTGCCAACATGAATGGCACGTTGACGAATAACTTACTATAACCGTATATGGTCCCCGTGGCATTCAAGCATGCTGTTCTGGTTTAGTCTCGTTTCACACAGGAAGAAGTTCAAGACATCTGGGGTTGACCAGAGCGGCGTGGCCAGAACGGCCAGCCGTGTCATATTTCGCGCAAGACAATTCACATTCCAGATCGCTTCGAGATTCTACCTTTACGCCATGTTGTCTCCTTTGACTCGTAATCGATGATATGCCGATAATATGCCGCCCCGTAGATTCTCTAAGCGAGACCGAGAGCCCGAGACAACAAACGGCGGAATAGCAAGAAATATTGAACAATGTTTGCTTTTCGACGTTCGTTGTAAGCCTTTGGTAAGCATGCCGTCTCTGAGAGCCTGAGACCTCCCCTCCCCCCTCCCCTGGATAATAGCGCAGAGTTTATTGCAACTCACTTGATAACGAAGAACCCGCCCTACCAAACCGGCCGTTATGATGATCTCATCACTTTCGATGACAGAGGAAGTTTTGTGATGTTTCAATGAGACGTCCGTGATGCGATAGAGGGAGGGATTGAAGGGGGTGTTGCCCGAGTGCCGGGTCTTTACCGGCCTGCATGTCTCAGAGGACACCGGTCCGCATCCGCATAAGCGTGCGTTCTTCTTGCTGGCCAGAGTGTCTATCCCACGCTAGGCGATGCGCTGTGAGGAGGATCAGTAGGGGTTATGTGATATGTGAGGGGGAAGGGGAGCGGCACGGCGGCCACGGGGGACGGGGTGTGGGAGGAGGCACGGAGGGAAACGGGGGAGGAGCCTAAGAGGAGCACAGGAGGCAGAGGGGGCCGCGCTTGAGTACGTTTGCTGATCATCGATGCGCGGTCATCATGGCGCTGAGACAGACATGATGGACGACGTACGTGATTGCGGGCATTTGCTGCATTAGCTTCACCGACTCATTCTTTCCAACGACAGGCGGGACGGATATGGAGGGGAGTACTCCCTGCTGTTGATGGCCGATATCATCGCCGTCATCGCTCTGAGTGCTGCTTCTGCGGGTGGTTTAGGGGAGTATTCTGGATCTAGATATGAGCTTTTGCTTTTCCGAATGCCCTCTCTCTCTCTCCTCTGCCCTCGGTGTCTTTGTGCTCTCCACTTGCCCACGCGCTCCGGGGGGGGGGGGGTTGTTCACGGTAACATGGTATCGGGACACAAGCCGAACCCGGATTCTACCCGTGTATGGTTCGTTCATCAGCTCATGATGTTGGGGCCAGTG